ACTGTGGTAAAATCAAGGCTAGCCTCAGCCCACAGGTTCCCACCACCTGGGGAGTCACGTACATACTTCGTTTTTGTGAATTAAATCTTGTTTGTAAAGGAAACACTATTGTGTAAATCAGCTACGTGTTTTTGTCTTTTCCTGTGGCTTAGTGGAAAGAGCACAGGTTTCAGATTCAGACAGACACTGTAGCTGAATGTCAGAAGTTTGGTTTATCCAATGTGACCTCTTTGATTTTTAAGTTTGATGTCATCTTACGAAGAGCTGTTAACTTATTGAGCTGTAGCTTCTTCAGGAAAGAGGAATCGTGTCTATTCAGTGAGATATTTTAAAATATTTTAAAATTACTTTAAAAATCACATCCTAGCATAAAGTAGACCCTTGGCCAATGCTAATTTTCTGTTTATTTAGTTGAAAATTTATTTTTAATGTATTTATTTGCATATCCCAAGTTTATTTGGAAACAGGAATAATTCAGTGGAAACTAAGAAAACTAATTGTTTAACTGTATTTTCTGACAGCTTCAAAATATAGCTCTTCAAAGTGAAAGTTTACAAAATTAGCAAATACTCTTTATTTAGATATCCAAATGCATTCTTAAACTCTATAGGTCAGTTTGGGAAAATGTGACCTCTTTGATTTTTAAAAACCCACGTTAAAATCTTACGGCAATTCTAGCAAACTTGTAAAAATCTTATTGAATGTACTCTACAACCTGAATCACTGGTTTCAGTTTTAAAATGCAGAAAATAAAAATCCGAAAAATCTTCCTATCTTTGTGGTGATTATTACATTATAGCAGTTGTAGGTCCTCTCAGCTGTTTCTTTCTTATAAAGAAACCAGAAGAAAAGTTGATAATGAACAGAATAAGAAAATTTTAAGAGACATTGCCTAGCTGTCATTAAACCACAGATTTTGTGGTATTATGTGCGCTTTCTTATTTTCCATGGTGATTCTCTTATGCTTTCTTTCCCTCCTCCCAGTGTGCTCTTGCAGCTGATGAAGTAGTATTTAATCAGAAGGACCTGGAGGTGAAGGAACTAAAGAATCAAGTGCAAATGATGGTGCAGGAAAACAAAGGACATGTTGTATCTTTGAAAGAAGCGCAAAAAGTGAACAGGTTGCAGGTAGAGTCTCTTAATGTACCTTGCTCTATATATTTCGTTGCAAGAGTACCTTATTAAAGGGAATAGCGTTTTAAATGATAAGTGGGAATGTTTGCAAAAATCAGTTTCATTTGACGAGTTCTCAACACAAGCACCTAAAAGAGTTATTGCAGTTTTCCCCCTGAACTGGTATAAAGGGAAAACATTTTTATTGTTAGTTGACTTATATTTCAAAAACATAAAGCCTAACACCCAGGAACTTAACTTGCAAAACATATTATGGTATCTTTTTTTTTATACTCTTCCCTTCCCTTGTTCGCCAAGGTAATAGACAATGTGATATTGTTAAGTGTTGGAAGGTAAATGCAGAATTTAAACTTTTTAATTTGTTAGATTATCCTTTTATACTCCATCAATAATTTGCTCTTTAACTTTGGCTAAATCTTTCCAATTCTCTACCTTAGCTTTCATATTATTAACATGGATGTGCCTGCAGTGTAACATGGTATGCCCCTAAATAGGATACTCCCTGGTATGAACGCTCCCACCCCCAGAACAGTTAATTTCATTTAAAACCTTTCCTTCCTATCAGGAAGTAACTGTCGCCCTGAGTAATAATCTGACCCAGGATGAGTTAGGCTTTGATTTTGACATTATTTTTCTTTCCCTTTTTAATTTTGTAATTTTGAATAATTTAAAAACATAAAACAAAATGTATTGTTCGTTGATTTATCACGAAGAGAACGGCTGGGTAACCACTGCCAGATCAAGCAATAGCAAACTGCCAGCCCCTCAGACGTCCTTCGTGTCTTCTCCTCAGAGAGAGCTGCTCTCCTTCCTTTCATAGTAATTCATCTCCTTGCTTTGCTGTGTTGTTTTACTGTGTATCCTTGAACACTACGGTTTAGTTTTTGGAATTTTTATGAATTTAATCATTCAGTATATATTTTTTTAGTATCTGGTTGCATTTATTGAACATTTTGTCTGTTCTGATTCTGATTTATCTGTTGTTGTTTGTCACTGCAGCTTGATCAGTTTTATAGCTGTATGCAAAATATACCACAATTTGTTTTTCTGCTTTATTGTTGAGGGACTTCTTTTTTCCTATGAGTTTTCTTATCCATGTCTCGTGGTGCACATGCACACACATTTCCTTCGGATTTGTGCCTAGGAGTTGAATTGCTAAGTCATAGGGTTGGCTAATCTTCAACTCTTTTTTTTTTAAAGTATTCAGTTTCATTAGGTAGAATTGTTAGAATTTGACTGCACATCAAATTTTCAACTTTAGTAAATAAAACGAAACTGTTTTCCACTGTATACTTGCACCAGCTCTGTATAAGCACTCCAGCTGCTTATACACTTGCTTGCCAGCATTTGTTATTGTTAATTTTTAAATCTTAGGCAACCTGTAGGTTTGTAGTGTTATTTTGTTGTGTTTTTAATTTGCATTTCTCCAGTGACTAGTGAAGTTGAGCACTTTTTCTAGTTTTTTGGGCTGTTGGGATACTTTCTTTTGTGAGAAGCTCATACAAGTCTCTTGCTTGTTTTTCTATTGGACTGGGTCTTTTCTGTTAATTTGCAGAAGCATATTAGATAATCTGCATATGAGTTCTCTGTTATATGATTTCAAATATTTTTTCCCTTTCTGTGACTTGCTTTTACTCTTAATGTTGTCTTTTGATGAAAAGGTGGAATCAAATTCAACAATCTTTTTCTTAATGGTTAATGACGTTGGTGCTCTATTTAACAAGACTTTCCTTTTCCCAGCCCTTTCCTCTGAGAATACTTTCTATATTATCTTCTAGGAGCTTTGTAGTTTTGCCTTTCACATTTAGCTTTTTTTTTAACCTTTTTTTTTTAATTGAGTTATAGTCAGTTTACGATGTTGTGTCAATTTCCAGTGTAGAGCACAATTTTTCAGTTATACATGAACATACATATCTTCATTATCACATTTTTTTTTGCTGTGAGCTACCACAAGATCTTGTACATATTTCCCTGTGCTATACAGTATAATCTTGTTTATCTGTTCTACATATGCCCATCAGTATCTACTACAAATTTCGTTCGCCTGACACATTTAGCTTTATAGTCCTCCTGAAATTGATTTTTATGTATGGGGTATAGGTCAAATTTCAGTTTTTTCCAAGTGGATATCCATTTGTTCTGGCATCATTTACTGAAAAGGTGATCTTTTCACCACTCTTCTGAGTGCTATCTTTGTCATAAGTCAAGGTTCATTCATGCATGTATCGTGTATTTATGGGACTTCAGTTGTGTCCCATTGGTTTGTCTATCCTTGGACCAATATCACATTTATTTAATGTAGTTTTCTAATAAGTCTAGATATTCTGTAGAGCAAGGTCTTTGCTCTATTTCCCTTTTTCTCAAGAATGTATTGGTTGTTCCATATAAATTTTAGAGTCAGTTTGTCAGGGACCATACACACACAAAGTTGTGATTTTGGCTGAGATTGGGTTAAATCTATAAGGTACATTTGGAAAAAATTAACATCTTTTGATTGTGAGTCTTCTAACTAATCCATGAACATGTTACCTCCCTCCATGTACTCACATTTTCTTTGGTTTTTCTCATAATGATTTGTGTGTGTGTGTTTGTAGAAGTACTGTACATCTTTTGTTAGATTCATTCCTAGGTACTTGATTTTTTTATGTGACTGTAAATGGTATCTTTTTAAATTGTTATTTTCTTAACTGTTAGTACGTGTAACTGTACTGATTTGTGTATATTGATAGCTTTTACCCAGCAATACAGTTAAATTTACTTTTTAATTCTGATATTTTATGTAAATTCTTTTGTATTTTTGTTTCCAATTGTATCTTCTGCAAATAATGACGTTTTTGTTTCTTCCTTTATAATCCTTATACTTTCTATTTGTTTTTTTTAACCTTTCTTCATTTGCTGCAATATTCTATACAGTGTTGAATATAAGTGGTGATAGCAAGTGTCTTTGTCTTGTTTCCAACCATAGAAGAAAAATTTTCATCATTTCACTATTAAGTATCATGTTTGCTGTAGATATTTTTAAATTTATCCTTCATCAAACCAAGGAAAATCTCTTTGCTGAGAACTTCTATTATGAATGGATATTAAATTTTATCAAATGATTTTCCTTTATCATGATTTTCCCCTTTTATTCTATTAATGTGAATTCTGTTGATTTTTATAATTTTAAACCAATCTTGTATTCCTAGAATAATCCCTTTTTTTGGTCATGATGTACTGTTGTATTGGGGGTCCCCAAGACCACTCTCAGGTTGGATGATGCACTGGGAGGACTCAGCACATAGTTGTGCTCATGGCTAAGATTTACTGCAGTGAAATGAGAGAAATGAGCAGCAAAGAGAAGACACCCATAGAATGAAGTCTGGAAGAAACCAAGCACAGGCTTCCAGTGGAATCACCCACATGTACATAATTTCTCCAGCAAAGACTGTGACAACTCATGTGAATTGTTTTCTATGAGGGAACTCAGTAGAGACTCAGGTTTCATTGAGGGCTGGTAATGAAGGCATTCTCTGCCCAGCATGTACTAAATTTCCAGACTACCAGAAGGAAAGCAGATGTTCAGCGTAAACTGCCTTGTCTTAACAAACAGTTTGAACAAAGTAAGCCACTCTTACCAGTTAGGGTTTTGGGAACAGACACCAGCCAGTGGACAACCTTGTAAGCAGGTCTTTCAAAGGATAACAGGCAGGCTTGCTAGGTTAATTCTTTTCTACAAATGTTCTTGATTTGGCTTGCAATTATTTTGTTTAGGATTTTAGCATCTCTGTGCACATGTGCAGTTAGCCTGTATTTTCCTGTCTCAGAATATTCTTGTCAGATATTATAACAACTTAGATTAGCCTTGCGGTATAGGTTAGGTAGCGTTCTTTATTTTTCTAGTGTGTGAAAAATTAGTATTCTTTCTTCCTTAAATGTTTGATTGAATTCACCTGTAAAATATTTGAGAGTGTGACGTTTCTTTGTGGGAACGTTTGAGTATGAATTCAATCATATTTCCTTTTTGCCTCCCCTTTGATAAGGTTCATTTTTCTAAGAATCTGACCACTGTATCTAAGTTTTCATATTTATTGGCATAAGTTTATAATAGTCTCATATCTCTTTAGATATGTGATGATAGCCCCTGTTTATTCCTGGTAATTTGTGCCTTCTCTTTTTTTCTGGTCAGATTCACCAAGGGTTTATCAGTTTTATTAGTGTCTTTGGAGAGGCAGTTCTTGACAGTGTTAATCTTCTCTAGTGTATGTTTCTTTATTATTTAATTAACTTCTGTTCTTACTTTTATTATTTAATTTGTCTGCTTTTTGGGGGGAAACTGTATGCTATCTTTCTAAATTCTTTAGATGGATACTTAGTTTATTGATTTTTAGCTTTCTATATATTTTTAGCCTTTTTTATAATATATGCATTTAAAGTTATATGGTGCCTCCTAAGCTTATCTTTACCTGCATTCCACATTCAGCTCAAAGTATTTCCTAATTTTTTGTGACTTTTTTCTTTGATCTCTGGGTTATATAGTTATCTTATTTCTAACACATGGAGGATTTCTTATCATTAATTTTTAGCTTAATTGCATTATGGTCCATATGATTTCAGTTCTTTGAATGTGTTGAAACTTGCTGTATGGCTCAGCATAAGGCTAGTTTTTGTAGATACTAGAAATGTGCTTGAAAAGAACGTGTATTCTGCAACCTCTGGGTTCTCTTAATCCTGTTAATTACATTATTCAAATCTATATTATTACTCACTTTTTTGGTCTTTTTGTTGTATTGGTAATTTAGAGTGACGTTAAAATCCCCCACTGTGACTTTGGATTTGTCCTTCTTCATGAATACTGACAATTTTGGCATTATATATATTGAATCTGGGTTATCAGTATGTAGACATGTAAAATTGTTACATCATTCTGGTGAATTTACCTTTTTATCAGTTTTTTGCCTCATTTTATCTCTTCTAATGGTTTTTGCCTGTAAGTCTATTTTATATTAATATAGCTATACCAGCTTTCTTTTGATTAATATTTCCAGAGTGTCTTTTTCCATCTTTTTAATCTTTCTGTGTCAATTTTAACTTTCTTTTAAGCAGTAGACTGGATAATTTTATGATTCATTCTGACAGTCTTTCTCCTTTAATTTTGATTACTCAGTTCATTTCTGAATTTAACACGATTACTATTGTATTCTGGTTATGATTCCACCATTGTGATTTTTACTAATCCTGTCTGATCTATGTTCCTTTTTCTCTCCTCCTTACCTTCTTTTGGATTAATTGTGTATTTTTACTTTTTGTATTTACTTAATTACCTTAGAGGTTGAACTTTCCCCCTTTTTAGTGGTTATCCTAGAGAGTATACCACGCACCCTTGACTTAATACAGTCTAATATTAATTGATATCTTTACCCTTTCCCTAGAGAATATAAGGACTCTGTTTAATACCTGCCTCGACTTATATGCTATTGGTGTCGTATATTTTAATTATCTGAATACATGACTTTTAAATAAAGTTACATTTTATAGTTCAGCATTAACACAGTGAAACTTTAGGGGGTTTTTTCCCCCTATTTAAACATTATAGTCCATGGGACGTATTGAGATGAATGACATTTCTCGCTTACATAGTTTTGTGATTATAAAACAAAGATTGATGTTGAGCTTTCTAGGTTGGATAATACTTCAGAATTTTTCTTTAGAGGATGCATAAAAAACTAAACCACATACAGTGTGTGGTTTCTCTCTCTCTGTTCCCTCTTCTCTCTCCCTGTCTCCCCCTCTCCCCCTCTCCCCCTTTCCCTACTCCCATATACAATGTGTGCAGCCTTTGATTTCCAAGTTCTCCTTTCTCCCACGACTCTCACTTGCCCATCTTCTATCTCTTTGTGGTTCTGGCTTTCTTTTTCACTCTGTACAGGCTTTCACTTCACTGTACCTGTTACCACTTTCTTTGCTGTCACCTCAACTATTTGCAATTCTTTCACCACTTGTCAACTTCCTTGTCTCTTGTTACTTCTTGAATTTCACTCAGGAAGTTGAAACTTTTATAAAGACCAACTAATCAGAGTGCTTCAGGTTGGCAAGCACAGGGTATGGGACGTTCGTTATCTTTGAGTATTTAACTCTTTAGGCTGTGTTTGTTGCTGCTTACTGTTCACAAATTTTTACCACTCGGAACAATCCTAGATTCTTGTGAACACCAGAAGCTAGTCTTTGGATAAATAAATTTTTACTGTTTTTGTTAAGGTAGTTGTGATTTTGGTCCATATACAATTTATTTTTAATCATTACACATGTACTGAGGTTGTCTATTTTTAAAATTCTTGTCTCTCTTCTACAAAGAATGAAAAAATAATAGAACAACAACTTCTTGTGGATCAACTGAATGAAGAACTAACAAAACTTAACCTGTCAATGACTTCTCCTGCTAAGGAAACTTGTGGAGATGGGCCAGATGCCAGGATCCTTGAAAAGAGACCATATACTGTACCATTTGATACTCATTTGGGGCATTATATTTATATCCCAGCAAGATCAGATTCCAGGAAGGTAAAGTCTAAACATTAATCTCTTTCTTATTTTCAGATTTAAAATATGTTATATGTAATATTGTAGTACAGTGTATTTGTATAGTCTCAGTGGGGTTTTTTTTCTATTTGGTTTTATAGACTTGTGTACAGTCTTTTAAAAAATCATGCTTCTTTTTAGTAAAAAAAATTAGTAAGTAGGAGAATGTGTAGTTATATTTGGAAGGAATAGTTGAAGATAATGTCTGCATTCATCAAGGAGAAAAAAGCTGCCCTTTGCCATCATATTTTCGGACATGCCTAAGCCTAATATCTTCATGAATTTTTTTCTTTCTTTAACCGCAGCAAGTTGATAAGGTTGGAGGTATTTATTTTGCCTTTTTTTGGTCTGTCTGATTCTTTTCAAAATTATGTTTATGTATTATTCAGTCTTGCCAGGCTGACATAATCAAGACTGTATAAAAATCAGGAAGTTTCAGTTTAATTTTTGTTTATAAAACTAAGTGTGTGGGTTGTCAATATGTGCACACACAGATTTGTCTGGAAAAAAATCAAGGAATCTCCACCATGGAAAAGACTAGCAGACTCAGGAATTTTGGTTTCTGTTTATTAATTTTATGAAGGCAAGTGATCTGTTCGAGATCTGTGTGTTGGTTACATAGTAAAGGGATAAGAAATATGAGACGGGTCATAGACTTGGCAGTCAGCCGGGCTTGGGTGTGAACACCAGCTCTATTGTACAGGCCCGGACATGGAACTAAACCTGTGTGAACCTCAGGTTCCTTATCTGTCAGAATCTGGGGTGTGCGGGGTGTATGGAGGTTTTACATGAGACGGTGACTCCGGAAGTGCCTGGCACGCCGCATCCTCAACACGTGTTCACGGGGTGCCTCTGCTGCATCCCAGACTCAGTGCCTCGGAGCGAGAAAGAGAGATGCTATTGTTACCTATGTAGTTTGCAATTTTAAGTGGTTAGATTTTAAAATTCAAACCATTATTATTAATTTCAGGTAAACTTTCTAGAATTATTGACATTTTCTTTACGGCTGAATACATGGTAAATTTTTATAGAACATTTGAGAAGAAATATAAGTCCTTTATAGGATTCAAATCGGGTATCTATTAGTTCAACTTAATATATGTCAAAACTTCTATACTAAATTTTTTTTACTACTGCCTAGTAATGTGAAAGAATTTCCCATTTCTGTCCATTCTTTAATTTTTTTAGAATAACATTTTTTCTGATTATAAAAGTTACACAGATTTATTCTCTCTTTCAGTGACTGTTTCTTTTTCACTGGATGTATACACACACACACACACACATATATTCTATGAGGAGACAGAGCCACTGGCCCTTGAGAAGGGGCTAGGCCCCTCTGTTCTTATGTCTAGATGTTTGATTAAACCTGAAGCAGGCATGACTGGAATAAAGACTTCCACAGTTATTATTTCAAATTAGCAAATTCTCAGTTTTGTTTTTAAAATTTTCCTTCTTCCCTCAAAAGAACCCTTCTAGCCACTAAAAAATGGGGGAAAGATCATATGATCAGTTTTGAGAGTTCTCTTGCTCCTTCTGAGCGTCCAGGAACGCTGGCCACACCTCCTGCGTGGGCTGGTTACTGCTGCAGACATGAAAAGGCAGGCTTGCATGGGGAGACACAAAGCGTGCCAAGCCTTGTTCAAGTCCTGTTTCCTGTCCCATTGTTCTAAGAGTGAGGGAAGGGTTTCATATTAAATACTTAAACTAGCTAAATTAAGCCAGAGACATCTGAAACACGATTTCTTTTTTTTCTGGATTTCTGGCTCCCTGGCAGAAGTCAAGCAAATGTTTTCCAGCTCTAATATTTTCTTCTAGAGTTTAGCTCTGATGTTTTCATGAAGTAAAAACAGTCTGAAAGGGAAATATTTTCTCAACTTAAAATACTTTCAAAGTGGGGGGGTGGCTTAATCAGGTTTTTTTTAATTATTTAAAAATTTTATTTGTTTATTTTTAAAAGTTTTTGTGCGGGAAGTAATTAGGTTTATCTATTTATTTATGACTTTTGGTAGAAATACCAGGGATAGAACCTGGGACCTCATGCGTGTTATGCTTGTACTCTTACCACTGAGCTATGTACCCTTCCCCCTTAATCAGTTTTTAAATTGATTACAGAAAGAGTTTGATTTTATTTTTTATATGCTTGTTTACACATATTGGAGAGAAAAGGTGAAAAGATCTTATTTTAAAGGTGTATTGTTTCTGTTGTATTTGTAGATACACTTTTGTAGCTAGCTTTTCTCACTTAATATATCACAAACACTTGACAACAATCATTAAATATTCATACTATATCATGATCTTGATGGCTGAATAATATTTTATCCTAAGGGCATGCCGTTTCCTATTGTTTCACGCTTGTTTTCAACTATCTCTTGCTCTAAAAAGTTTAACACCGAAATGTAACTTTAGGGTTTGTCTGCTTTTGCAGTTGTGCCCCTCACAACTAAAATGGTGTAATTTATCAAATTAATTGGAAAAAAGAGAAGGAAACTCATTTGTCTCATTAGATAGCAGGAACTCATCTAATGAAATATAAAGATCAAATCTAGATTTAAACTTAAAGAAAAAATACAACAGGTTTCTATTTTCTTAACATGGTAAATGTGATATAATTAAAACTAAGAGCCAGTGTTATACATACAAAAGGGAACTTTGGAAAGAAAAAATTACAAAGGTGGCCCCAGTCATTACTTAGGTTTAAAATAATACCACAAATGCTGATGAAAGTCTACCGTTTTTCGTTGATTGTAAGATTCACATTTTTTTTTCACGTTTTATCATCTTTGATGGCAGGATATGCTTTACAGTTGATGGTATGTCATAGTTGGCAGCGTTTTTTCTTTCTTGATATATAAAAAATAAGGGTTTGTCTTACAGTTAATGGCATTTTAGATTTGATGAAATATCGTATTATGAAAAGGCAATAAAAGCAATAGGGAAAGAATACCACTTTCAGTACTTGACACAATTGTATACAAAGACAACCAACCAAAATGTTCTTATGGGATATATTTTAAAAACATTTTGGAATCTCCAAATTCACAGAAGTGGAAATATTTGTAAAATCTTTTCTCTTTTTCCTGAGTGAATTACATTTCATCCACGAAGTTCTTAGGCATTATCTCCATATACTATAAGTTAACATCCTTTTCAGTTTTCACTAAAATTTTTTCTCTCACACAGAAGCTATTTTTTTTCTCACAAAATAAGTAATTTGTTTTGGTTTTTAACCGCTTTGTCCTTTGCATACATGATTGCTCATGGTGAAGTAGAGCTGTATGAGATGTGTCTGCTGAGCTTGGACCAGGTTCCCTTGCTAGCCAAGCCCTCATTCCAGCAAAACACACCAACTTCACAGTAGCAAAACCGCAGCTTACATCTCATGAACCTTTGTGATGCTCTCAGATTAAACTTCAAAGCTAAATATGTGAAAGCCAGAAACTGTGGCAAATGAGTTGTAGCACATCTGATGAAACAAAGTCAAATGCATCATTAGTGAGAGGAAATTATCTTATTGTATGCTGATTGAGAATATTACACTCAGGTCTGGATCTAGCACCTTAAGTCAAATTAGATTATTTTCAGATAACAAGCAAGCTCCTGAAGGACCTTGGGGAAAATCTGAAGATTTAGTCTGATTCAGAGGAGACGTGATAACCGGTTTCAGATATCTGAAGGTGGATCATTATTGTTAGGCTTTATCTCTAGGACTAGGTAGGACCAAGGAGAAGAAGTGCTAAGGGAATATAAAGAGGGACTCGCTAGTGAGAACTGGCCAAGGTCCCGGGGCTTGTGAGGGCCCCCACAGTGTGTTTATTTAAGCAGAAGTTAAATGGTAAATTGCAGTATTAGAAAGGAGAGTCAAACATGGGATGAGTTGAACTCAGTAAGCTTTAAAGTTCTGTCCAGTCCTGTTGCTGTGCAATTCTAGGAGAAGTTTAGAGAGAAAAACTGACCTTTTTTTTTTTTTAAAGTACAGTCAATTAGAATGTGTCAGTCTCTGGTGTACAGCACAATGTCCCAGTCTTGCATATATATACTTATATTCATTTTCATATTTTTTTCCATTAAAGGTTATTACAGGATACTGAATGTAGTTTCCTGTGCTATACAAAAGAAACTTTTTTAACTTAGCTTCCAGTTGGATACACTTCAGCTATCTGAATTATTAATCAGCTTATTTAGTACTTACATTGTGATCAGTACTGTTTGGGGTGTGGTTGAAAAATGCAGAAATATCATTTGTGGGGAGCAGGGAGTGCAGAAGCAACTACAGGAAGCAGGACCCTTAGCTAGGAAGGAGATTATAGATGGCTTTGTGAGCCTAGAAGGGGCAAAGCACTGTTCTGTTGGAAAGACTGTTAATGAATTAGTTTACTGAATGTTATTCATTTGACAGAACTTATTTGGTGTTCCTTATTAAGTTGGGTCATTTGGTTTTCTTTGTAAAAAGAAAATTTTAAAGCAAATTACAATCCCAGAGAACAAAGTTATTCTGAACAGTAAGTTTTATTTGCTTCCAAAATAATCCCCCTCCCATGACAAAGAGAAAGCTTGATTCCTGTCAGTTATGATGCAGAATGGCCACGCTAGGTACATTGGGCTTGTTGGATAAATAGTTCTTGAGTTGGTTCTTCTGTAAATAAACCCTCCCCCCGTACCCGAGAGATGGGAGACCACCTAGAAAACTTTACCCTTTACCCATCATGGTCCTGATATGACAACTGGTCTTATTAGGTGACCGACAGTGGAGGCACAAAAATCAGGTATCAAGGAACATTCAGTACCAGGTCGGCTTTTCTGGGAGGGGTTGTGTGAGGGACCTGTGTCAGTTGAATCTGGAGCACCATGTGATATACACATTCTGCTATATGTTATAATTTGAATAGCTTATAATAATTTAAACTAATACAGTGAGTATTTCCCCTAAGATCTTATTATCCTTTTTTGAGAAATTACGCTGTTTGGTTACAGAGAAGTGATGAAAAAGGAAATATTTGGTAACAGAAACTAGAATAAAGGTATAAAGGCAATTTCTAATTCATTGTTGTTTTCCAAGGTCAGTTTTTGAGAACTTACGGTCTAGTGCCAATAGAAGCATGTTACAATACAGAAAGCTCCCCGGCTAGTCCATGAAAATCTCTTCACCCTGTGATACATATTAAGTATGTCACTTAGGTCATTATTCAGTTCCCCCTGACTACCACATAGGAAGTGTGAGTAAATACATTCAGGCTTACAGATCAGGAATAGTTTACCCTGGCAGAGGAAGTGGCAGTGGCTCTGGATTTCTTCACGTGGTGGGATTTGGATTGGAGGGGAATTGCAGACCCTTTGCAGTTCTCCCAGTGTTCTGAGCTGGGAAGACTAGCGGATAGGGTGAGGAACAGTTGTCTCCTATTACACTATGTACAGACTCCACATTTGTCGGGGAGTACCTGTGCTGTGTTTAAGAACTGTGATGCTTTCACTCATGCCCCTTTCTGGTTTCATTTTTGAATACTATTTTCCACGAAGCTATCATTGAAATTAGATGATCTTTCTAGGAGAGGAAGAGCTATGTAGATTCTGAAAAAAGTATGTGTCCATGAGATACAATAGTACTGTGAAATGAATTTTGATTTTTTTGGTGGGGGGAGGTATTTTCAGTGATTGGCTATTTGAAGAATACCTATGTAATAACCTCTTAAAAATATTTTGGGCAATAAGATAAAAATAGACACTTTAAAAATCACTTTCTCTGTTGTTGGGTGGGGGCATCACTTGTAAGGTCCACACAAGTCCTTCTGTATACTCTCTGGATCGACTAGTTGCCGGATTTCGAACACGAAGTCAGATGCTGCTGGGTCACATAGAAGAACAAGATGAAGTCCTCCACTGCCAGTTTTCTGATAACAGTGATGATGAAGAATCAAAAAGTCAAGAGAAATCTGAAATTAGGTATGTTCACATAGGCTGATTTAATAGACAGAATTACATGATACAATAAATATATGCAGATATGGGGTTTTTTTATTAAAGTGTATCTCTTCTGTTTGATGTAAGAGTAGGTTGTTCTGCTACATGAACTTTGAACTAATGTGTTATGAAACCAGTGTTTGAATACAAGTCATCTAGTCTAATGATTGTAAGATAATTTTATGGTGGTTGGATTTTAATTTTCAGAGGGAATGCTTTTAGATTTCCTCATTCTGCTGCCACAGTGGCAAGAAACATGATGAATTTTCCACTGGGCCCATCATGGTGGGGGGGCATCTTTTTATTTTGTGGAATATTAGTAAATTCTGTTTATTTTATGTAATTCATAATTTAAAAAATAATTTGGGAGGAAACTAATTTGAGGGCAGGTTAAAAACCATTAACATACAAGTTACCTTTGATCCTGATCTTTTTTTTTTTTAAGACATGGAAGTCACTCCCATTGGATTCAAAAGCCAGGCTCTGTTTGTTCTCTTGTTGAATTGAATGATATGCATGATCAAACACAAAAGTCAAGATTGGAGAATGAAGGTACACAGACTTTCTCAAGTAATTTAGATATAATGTTTATAAGACACTTCTCTTTTCCTTCAGGCAATAATTGAAGAAGCATCCAGGAACTCACAAAGGTGGGAACTTAGTTAGGAGTATTTCCTGCCTTTTCCTTTATAGTCCCTGCTCTACCTCTGATTTTTTTGTCCTTTTTTACTCCTTAATAAAGTTTTTCCACCAGTCAGTTCTGGCTAGAGATATAGGCTAAATCTCTCAGCATGGGGATTTTATATTCAGACCTCAGTTGATATGCATTGTACTCTTGACTACTTTAAAACACATGTTCAGTAATTTACTATGTGTTACTGCCTCACTGGCACACGTGCCTACCGTTAGTGATGTATCTGGCGTTAGAGCCAACTTAGTCTACTCAGTGCTCACAGTGTTCACAACAGACGAGAATTTTTATGCATCAAAAACAGCATTAAAAATATTTGTTGCAGAAATTATAGTACGACATTTTAGCTCATTCTCTTGGATATGAGTGGTCAAAACACAAAGAGTAAGAGTACAGAGAGTATAGAGGACATGAGAAATCAATCGTACACTGTAAAAATAGCATCTTTCCTAGAGCTTATGCGTGTACTATTAACAAAAAATTGACTCTATGTCACAAATGAAACTGAAATAAAATTTAAAAATATATAAATAGTGTAGATAAATGCTACCCAAATAGCCATCCTCCAACTGTTTGTCACTGGGCTACAGCCAGGTAAGAAACTTATGTCAGAATGTAAATCAGTGCACCAGCCCCCTCACTGAGGAAGTCTTGCTACAAAAAACGTCAGCTGAACTAAAACAGTGACATAGTTGATTTATGTTCTGGTGCAAGACAGTAACAATGTGAGACCACACTCTGAGTAGCCTGGCGTAGACTACCTTCTCTGATTGCAGTAAAACCACAAGTTAACAGGAAAAAGAATTCAAAATTCTACCCATCTGAAAATCTTACACCTTTCTTAAATAACTCAGGGTAAGAAAATGTCAAATTGCAGAATATCAAAGGGCCATGAAAAACTGTGTATCAGAATCTAGAGGTTATGAGTAGAGCATGCATATATTTTAAGGAAAGGAAAACTCACTGTAAGCTGGAAAACTAAAATCCCAAGTGCCATGTATTTTTTCTTTTCTTTTTCTGTTTGTCCCTTCCTCTGTTACCACTAGGATGCTTCTGTGTCTCCTTTTCTTTTTTAACTCTAAATCTGTTGAATATTTATTGCTCAGCTTCATTTTTTTTATTTTAAAGATTTAAAAATTGAATGTCTCCAGGAGAGTCAAGAGTTGAATTTGCAAAAATTAAAGAATTCAGAACTCATACTTACTGAAGCTAAACAAAAAATGAGAGAACTTACAATTAACATCAAGATGAAGGAAGATCTGATTAAAGAATTAATTAAAACAGGTAATAGTATCCTGTGAACCAGCTCATATGAGAAAGAAAAGCTTCTAAATTTGCTTCTGATGTTGTAACATTTACTCAAGTTTTTCACACTCAGTACTATCCACTGTAGCTTGGAATTTGGTATAACAAAGGATACTCTAAAGCCAATGTGTGGAAGTTAGTCATCAAAATAACTCTGTTATATTTGATTTTGCCTGTGAATTGTTGTAACCAGTGTGAAGTCTGTGTTGCCCTGGAACTCTATGGCACTTAATGTTTTTTGCCACTTTTATAAGAACCATTATACTAGACATCTGGGAATAAGTTGGAGAGTTTTTCTAACTCATTTTAGTAAATACTTGTTTTAAATTATTTGTCTTTATTTTCTTGGATAGCTTATTTTTAACATGAATGATAAACTTGGAATTTTAAATGGATAATACATTTAAAATAATTTTTATTTCTCTAATGTTTTAAGGATTGATCCTTGAGAGCTATTCTCTTAAGTGAGCCAAACTTTCAGTTCATTCCCTTAGTTTCAAATTCTGCCAGGCTGGGCATATGTACGCAATCCTCAACTACATTAGGTTTGCCCTAAAAATGCACACCTCAAGCTTTTGGGTTTCTCTCCACTAATATACTTCAAGTGTGAGCCTTGACTACTTTGAAATTCACTAAAAAATTGAAGGAATAAGACACACTAGCATTTCTTTCCCCCAGTTCCAATGAAAAACAACTCCATGGTCACATCTGGGGGAACTGAAGGCAATACTGTTTTCCTCTTCTTCAAGCCCAAAGCTATAATCACACTCAAACCTCCCAAATTGTGGGTCCCAAATCCTCTGCCAGCAAAGAGAAACCTGCCTCCCCACCCCACCCCCTTTCCTGCAAGCTTGCTTTCTGGCCGTGGCTCCTCCTTTCTCAGTCTCCTCACCCCAGCTGCTGTCCAAAGCATCATCCCTCCTCGTTCCGGTGATGGATGCGCTGTGCATCATCGCAGCTCCAGTTATCCCAGTTGTTTGGTTTTGAGCGTGCTCCTTTCTCGTAGGCAAGATCATGCCAGTAAACCTCTGTAGGGGTATTCAGGGGTTTATATAGCCTCTCCATCCCCATGATTCCAGAGGACTGCCCGTGGAAGTTGAGGATGTTTACCCCCCTAGAATAAATGATTTTCTTTCAGATAGATTATCCTTCCGTGGGCTGTCTCACTAAACAAGCACACTTTTGTAGCCACCCATCCTGGTTGCTTTAAAATAGAGGATACCTGAACTTCCACAGAGAATGTCTTTCTTGCTCATTAGAACCAAGGGAAGTTTGGAACTTTCCTAAAGACCCTTAGAGGTGGTGGTTAGCTAAAGGGCCAATATATGCTTATTTTTCAATGCCTTCTCAGTGAAGACTTCCCCGAACAGCAGCTACTTCAGCCAGCGTTAAAGTGACAAGTGTACTGTTTCCTCTGTTTTAATACGTATTTTTCACACTTCAATATCTGAAATCAGGATGCATCTTACTACAGTCAGTGGCATTTTAGCATTTTATCACAGTGTAATTGGCACTGTATTTTTTTTTCTTACTGGCTCATAAAATATATAATACTGATGTGTTGATCAATTTATGGGGTCTTAGATTCATTAAAATACAGTAGTCATACGTATTTTAAAGTTAGTCATAGAATTGTAGAGTGAGAAGACAACTTATGATGCATTTAGTTTAATAATTCCTTTTATTAAAAAATTAAGAGATTTTCAGTACAGCAGCATAACAACCGGCCCCTGTGGTTATTCATCCCATGGGCTCTAAACTCTTACTTCCCACTGCTGTGAGTTTGCTGGTCTAGTTGACTATTCGGAACAAATCAAAACGAAGTTTTTAAGGTCAGTAGCTGGGCTTAGAATGAAGAGAAACAGAAACATCTATATTCCATTTTTCTCTATGTTCTAAATATTCATAAGAAAAGCATTTAAAAAGAATTCATCTTTAACAAGTTCAGATGAAATGAAAAAGGAGAGGGACTGGGTATTGATTAAAGGATTCTTGAGACACACAACAATCAGATGTAATGTGGACCTTGTTTGGATCATGATTAGAATAGACTAGTTGCAAAAGACATTTTGAGACAATGGGGAAGTCTGAATAGGGACTGGTGAGTATTAACACTGCCAGGTGTGATGATGACTTTTTGGTTATTTCCATATTCTTTGTAGATACTTATTGAAGTATATATAAGTGATGATATGACATCTGGGATTGCTTTACAGTTTTTAAGCAAGTTAAAACAAAAGAAAAAAGGCATAGATAATGCAACTGTGGCAAAATCTTGATAACTCTCGAATCTGAGTGATGGCAGTTCATTATGTTTCTTTCTTACTTTTGATATGTTGAAAATTTTTGATAACAGTTTAAAAAAAAAGAATTCAGAGACAGATTATGGGTAGGACACCAAAGTGTAGTAAGCAGAGGCCAGTAACCCCGAATATTCTTTTTAACTAGAATTTGATGCTAGCAAAGCTAAATTGCAAACTAGAAGATCAGAATGCCACAAAACATGAAAGATGAACCAGGGAGAAGACTGAATGGCTCCAAATGGGGACAATCATTAAGGAATTAATTATTAAGAGGCCAGGTGGCAAGTTGTGTTTGATGGGGATGGGAGAGGACAGCTGGGTTTCTAATGCTATGCCTTATGTAGTTACCCTTCCCAGCTCCTTAAGAGTAGGGCAATTTTACGTTTTCAATGTTTTACTTAGTTTTTTTAAACATAATTTATAATTATTGTTACTGTAATTATTATGAAGGTAATGATGCCAAGTCTGTAAGCAAACAGTATTCTCTGAAAGTAACAAAACTTGAGCAAGAAGCAGAACAAGCAAAAGTGGAATTAACTGAAACAGAAAAGCAGCTACAGGAACTGGAAAACAGAGATCTTTCTGATATTGCTTTGAAGGTAAAATTACAGAAGGAGTTTCGTAAAAAGATGGATGCCGCAAAGCTGAAAGTCCAGGTAATTTAAAAAATGTAGTTGAGAAAACTTATTTAAGGCTTCCTGCTTTTGAGGATTCTTGTACCTAGTTAGGAAAGAAGTAGGATTCAGTTCTTACTAGCAAGAGGAACTGGATGGCAGGGTTTCTTTTCCAGTGTGCTTTTATGTAATTGGATTTATATAATTTCAGTCTGGGCAGTATATTTCTTCATCCAAGAAATATACTAATCTTTTTATCCAAAACTACGTGGTGAGAAATAAAGATAACCACAGAAATAGTGTCCTTTTCTGAAGGATAAAAGATGAATGATTAAATAATACAGATAAAACACTCAGCACGTGTATAGCACTTGGTTGACATTCAGCAAATGATGACTATTTCAGACAGTTTTCTGAAATCATAACTGCTCAATTTAAGAAAAGTCAATAACTTTGAGTACTACAGCTTATTCTTAATTCTTAAATGCTGGACTTTGCTATAATCTCAGAAATACAATGAATTTGCTAGAAGGCCTTTTCCATTTCTTTTGATTCGTTATCTTTTCCTTTCATGTTCTCACTGTAGGTAGAAGGAATGGTAGTTAACCCATTCAGAGCATTGATTGTATTTTTGAAACTGTGCCACAGTTGTTTTCTTTCAACAAGATAAGTGTTTGCTGCACACCTCCTGTGTGCCAGGTCCAATACTAGGTGGAGATGCAGAAGTGAACACATTCGAAGAGCTCCTCCTTCTGGGGTTTTTAATGCCATCTCAAACATCTGGACATCTCTATTAAATTTTTTTTACCTAAGTAGCCTCTCAAGTCAACACCAAGTTAAAATAATGTGACAGCACTTTCCACTTTCCTTCAGGATACGTATTTTCACTTAGCAATTCACCTCAGAGGGTCTTAGGATCAGTTCTTTTTCACTTCTTGACCCTTTAAATTCAGGCTGGAATGTCGAACAAAATACTCATTTTAACAAAACATTAGTAAAACAATACAGTTAAGACTTTTCTTTTGTGTTTATTATGAAATTTTATTTAGAATTTCATGGGTTTATATCCTAGCTTCAGTTCTATCAAGAATAAATTAAAATCTAGGCAAAATGCCTCCCTGTGCCATTGAATGAGAAGTTTGTTTACTTGATGGATATGAGAGATGCAGTTTTTCATTTTGAAATATTCCGTGTGATCCCAGGTCCTACAGAAGAAGCAACAAAATAGTAAGAAATTGGCATCGCTTTCGATCCAAAATGAGAAACGTGCTAATGAACTAGAGCAGAATGTAGATCACATGAAATATCAAAAGGTACAGCTGCAAAAAAGACTTCGAGAAGAAAACGAAAAAAGGAAACAACTGGATGCAGAAATTAAGCGGGATCAACAAAAAATCAAAGTAATATTGTCATACTTTCCTGCTAAGCATAATATGAAATGTTCAACGGCTCAGAGGTAACGAAGCCAAGGTCTTGATTCAGTTGGCTTGCGAGGTGTCTTACCTTGGCCTGTCCTTGGCTGCTGTCCTCATTCACTGTAAAGCTTTGTTGATCTACATAGTAAAAGCTATTTATTGAATTCTGAGTACTGTCTTGAAGGCTGTGACTACACAAAAGAAAGTACAGTGATAATTTCTCTTACGAGGACCTTAACTTTAGTTGAGGCTATCGAAAACATAAATATATAAAGCTGGCTTTCTAAAAAGTCGTGAACATTTGAATAGGATTTCCCATTTTCAGAGTGCTTTGACATGCAGTGTCCCTGTGGCGGCATCGGAAAAGTACAAGGTAAAATGGTACCCATTTCTTCTGTGGTGAGCACAAGAGTGGTCAGACCAGCACGCCCAGCAGTTGTGTAGAATGAATTGGGCTGGGGAGGAACTAGTGGTGTCAGCCCGAGCTCTGGAGCCAAGCTAGCGTGTATTCAAACCCCAGCTCTGTCAGTTCCTGGCTAGATCATTTATTGAGAAAATCACTTACCCTCCTTGCATCTTTCTGTTTATTTTTATCTAAAATGGTCTTAATCATACTTGCCTCACCAGGGCTCTTTTGAAGAAGAGGATCATCATGATTATAACAACAATAACAAACACTTAACTAGCACTGTGGACCAGACTCTGTTTTATTGAAATGTTAAGCCCAACCCAAGGCATGGAACATAACTGAAGATTTCCTAGATTTTTAACTTTGGAATATAATATATTCTCAGACCTTAAAAAAATGACAGAATTTAGCGATGGAAGGAGGCTTAAAGAGAAATTAAGCCAAGTTACTGATTCCTTTTTTTTTTAAATAGCTTTACTGAGATATACTTCATATACCATGCAATTCACCCATGTAAAGTGAACAATTTAATGGGTTTTGGTTTATAACATTATTAATTTTTGTAAATTATGTAATATATATATGACATGAAATTTACCATTTTAACTATGTTGAAGTGTACGGTTCAGTGTCATTCATTACATTCCCAATGTTGTGCAACCATCACCACTATTTCGAAAACTTTTTTGTTACTCTTCACAGACACTCTATAACCATTAAGCAATAACTCCCTTTCCCCTTCCCCCGCCTACCCCGGCCCCTGGTAACCTCTAATCTACTTCTGTCTTTATGAATTTGCATATTCTAGATATTTCATAAAAGTGGAATCATGCAATATTTGTCCTGTCTGGGTTATTTCATTTAGCATGTTTTCAAGGTTCAGCCGTGTTGTAGTGTGTATCAGAACTTCATTTGTCTTTATAGCTGAGTAATACTCCATTGCATGTTTATGCCACATTTTGTTTATCCATTTTATATGTTGATAGACCCTTGGATTGTTTCCACCTTTTGGCTATTGTGAATAATACTGTGGCAAATATTGGCATACGAGTAACTGATCAAGTCCCTGCTTTCAATTCCAAAGGAATTGAAATACCTAAGAGTGGGATTCTTGGGTCCTATGGTAATTCTATATTTAGCTTTTTGAGACACCACCAACTGTTTTCAATAGTGGCAGCACCATTTTACATTCCTATCAGTGATGTAGTAGGGTTCTGATTTCTCCACATCTTCACCAACACTTGTTTTTTTTTTTCTTTTTTTATTATAGTCATCCAAGTATGTGTGAAGTGGAATCTCATTCTGGTTTCAATTTGCTTTTTTCTAAAGACTAAGGATGTTGAGCATCTTTTCATGTACTCATTGGCCATTTGTATATCTTCTTTGGCGAAATATCTATTCATTGTTTACTTTTTAATTGGATTGTCTTTTTGCTGTTGAGTTGTAGGAGTTTGTCATATATTCTGGACATTAAACTTTTATCAGATACATGACTTAGAAAAAGTTTTTTCCCATTCTGTGGGTTATCTTTAAATTTTCTTAAATATTATTAATTTATGCACCCAAGACTTAAATTTTCATGAAGTAATTTATCTATTTTTCCTTTTGTTGCTTGTGCTTTTAATGTCATATCTAAGAATCCATTTCCAAATCTAAGGTCACAAAGATATACCCCTAGGTTTTCTTCTGGAGTTTTGTGGTTGTAGCTCTTATATTTAAGTTGTTGGTCCATTCTGAGTTATTTTTTTGTATATGGTGTGAGGTAGGAGCCAAACTTCATTCTTTTGTAGAAATCCAGTTGCTTCAGCACTATCTGTTAAAAAAACTGTTCTGTCTCCATTAAATGTACTTGGTACCCATGTCAAAGTCATTTGGCTATAGATTCATGGATTTGTTGCTAAACTCTCAGTTCTATTCCATTTGTCTGTATATCTGTCCTTATGCCAGTAGCACACTTTTAATTACTGTAGCTGTGCAGTAGGTTTTGAAGTTAGGAAGTAAGTCCTCCAGTTTTGTTCTTCTTTTTCGAGATTGTTTTGACCATTTGAGGACCCTTACAATTCCATATGAATTTAAGGATCAGCTTTTCCATTTCTGCAAAAAAGGCCATTGGAATTTTGATATGGATTGCGTTGACCGTGTAGATCTCTTAGGGTACTACTGACATCATGGGAATGTTAAGTTTTCCTATGTATGAGCGTGGGGTATCTTTTCATTTATTTAAATCTTCTTTAATTTCTTTCAGCATTGTTTTACAATTTTTAGTGTACTAGTCTTTTATCTCCTTGGACAAATTCATTCCCAGATATTTTATTCTTTTAGATGTTGTTGTAAATGGAATTGCTTTCTTAATTTCCTTGAGTTACTCATTCTTAATAGTAATAATAATCATTATGGAAGTAAATAACATTATTTATCTTTAGTCAGTACCATGCTAAGCACTTATAATGCTTTATTTATTATTTTCTCCTGTATTTTTAACTTTTCCTTTTTTCCTAGATTCTTTCTTTAAACATCTTAGATTTTTCTCCTCCTAACGCTTTTCTCCTTCAGCCTTACACTTCTCTCTTCTCCCCTTTATAACCAAACTTCTTGGAAAAGTTTACTACATTTGATTCTGTTTCCTTTGCTTTCATTCATACCCTTATCCTCTCCAGTGTGGTTTCTGGGTCCTGGCTGTACCATTCACTTCAAAGCTCTTGAGAAGTTC